TAGCAATCCCTGCAGCTTTGACTAGTCTAAGAAACAAACAAACAAAAAAAGGCAAAAAAAAAAAAAAAAAGCAAAACTGCCAAGTGCCAAGAGTTGGACACATTGGCCATGTAGCCATGAGGGCTACCAAAAATTATCCGTTTCAGAGCAAGAGAACCCCTATGACAAAGGGGAAGCTGAGATAGACAGAAAGTGTCTTAACCATAAGTCTCACCCGCACCTCTTAATTCCTCCCAGCCCATAATACTCTTTCCATTTTAGTAATGCAAGCTTTCCATTGAATTGCTTATATGGTCATTTGTAGAGCCTTGCACCTGCTTTGATAACACACATCTGGTATGAACACATGAGTCATCATGAACACACAAGTTTATAATTTTAAGAATGACATTGTTAATTATGCTTGAAATAAGCTTGGGAAACATTTTACTTAGCCAGCCTCTTGAATAGACATTTCTTTATATCTAGTGAAACATCATTTTGCATACCGGTAATAAGAAAATTCATGTGATGAATACTAAATTGATATAAAAAAAGAAAAAAAAAAAAAAAAAAAGGCAAAACTGCCAAGTGCCAAGAGTTGGACACATTGGCCATGTAGCCATGAGGGCTACCAAAAATTATCCGTTTCAGAGCAAGAGAACCCCTATGACAAAGGGGAAGCTGAGATAGACAGAAAGTGTCTTAACCATAAGTCTCACCCGCACCTCTTAATTCCTCCCAGCCCATAATACTCTTTCCATTTTAGTAATGCAAGCTTTCCATTGAATTGCTTATATGGTCATTTGTAGAGCCTTGCACCTGCTTTGTAAAGCATGGATGGGCTCAACTTTCATACTATCCATCTTTCCCAGTGGGGTTTTACCAAAATTAAAACTCACAAGGTGCAGCATATTGCAGTTTCACCTCTCAGTCTCATTAGCTGATACTTTCAGAAAGGCTGTATAGAGCCCCACATCTGTTGTGAGCAGAAAAGGCCTTATGCACTTAAAAAGCATTTGGGAAGAGGTTTTCAAAGGTGCAAATTCACATGCTTCAGTTGCATGAGAATCCAAGCAGTCAGTGGAACAGCCAAATAGCTGATTGTCTGTTGAACATGCAGACGTCGCACTGGATGGAAACAGGAGTAGAATGTCCAAAGTATTTCGACCTAGCCAAAAACATCACCTAAATGTGAAACTCCTGCAGAATTTCAACCTGCTTGCATACCTTCTCATAACAGAAACCATTTGCGTGAAAAGTACGTTCATTTTGTTTTCAAAACACAACATGAGGTAACCATCTGGATAAAGACACGTAAGAGGAAAGTAGCTGGTGCTGCCCATTAGAAATTTCCCATCCCTGAAGCTGGGCTGTAGAGTGAGCCTGCTTCCATTCAGCAGAATCCTGCCAAAAGCTGGGAAGCCCCGACCAGTCACTTCGCTTCTGCCGTGGGAGGGGATGCTTTCAGGCTGAGACACTCGCTGGGGTTTTGCTGAGCGGAAGCTCTGGGCCCCGCTCCTGCAAAGAAGTGCACTGTGCCGTGACCCCGAGGGAACGATTTCCAGTGCGCAGGGCCAGCCATGCGAGACTCCCCGGAGGACAAGAGCCTCTGACCATAGCAGCTGAGGGCAAGGTCCGTTAGTGTTCCTTCTGCTCCTGCATTGCTTTCTACAGAAGGGTCCCCTGAAGAAGCGGGAAAATACCCTTCAGAAGGTGCACATGAGAAATGCCCTCTGGTGAGATCACACCTATTGAAATGAGTTCTTGTGTTGCTCTTGGGATTTCAGTTTGGGAGAGTTGTTTTTTCTTTGGTGTTTTTTTTCTTGTTGTTGGGCTTTATTTTTATAGCTGGGAAAAACGTACGGAAACGATACCATTCCTTCTGAAACCTTCTATTTTGCTAAAGAACAATCTTAACCCAAGTCAAGGCGTCCTGACAGAAGAGGCTGTCAGGACTTCTATGTAGTCTCCTTTCACACATATACAAATAGAACAAAAATTTCTCCCTCTGCCTTTGCTTTAAATTTGGCACTGCGCTTGACCGGAACTGCAAGTGCAGCTCTGGCTGGAGAGCCAACTCTGTACCAGTAAGGCAAGGATGCTTTAGCATCCAGTGTGCCCTCTGTTTCCTCTGGCAACATAACAGTACATAACCTACCTGTATCCCCATATTCCCAAGTTATCCTGCTGTTTAAGCGTGTAAAGTTGGACTTAATTGTCTTATTCTTTAATCCAGTCTCCTCCAGAAACCAGGTTCGTACAAAGAAATTTGCAAAGAAGCCTTAGGAAATTAAATGCCAGACTCCAGGCGACTTTCACCGACACTTCAGTTTGCGCCTCCCTTTGTCTTTCTTCTGCCTCAGTTATTACAGAATCCCTGCTGTCTCAGACAGATCCCAAGTGGGATAAAGGTCTCCTTTACATGTGCCCCAGTACATAGTCGTATGCCTCTCTAGCCTGATTACTCCATAATACAGCAGCTTGGACCACAGGGAAGTAATTTACCTGCAGGGTGAGAAATGTCAAAGCCTGACATCTGTTCCTGGGCTTCAATGGCTAGATGTCAGCTTAGGTATAATTTACCTGGCTGGCAGCACAGCACCAGAGGTGTGCAAAACAAAACAGTTGCTCTTGTCAGGTTTAGAGCCATCTGTTTCTACAATGAATATAGGATGCTTTGTCCCATACTTGGGGAAAAGCGTCACCCACCCCTCAGAAGCTCCCCACAGACTTATTGCCAATCTATCCAGGATGCTCTTTTGCCAGAATACCCGAGTAACTCATTTTGGTTTTAACTGTACTGACACTCTCTGCATGGCAGAGGAAAGCTCCTCCTATTTCCTAGGTAGGAACCAGAGCAGGGCCTTTATGCTCTCACATTAACCTAGGGCTCATGCAAGTTCCCTGGTCACCCACACTGCCTCTGCATCAATTTATAATTTGGAGCAAGCCAATGACTTACATGGGGGCACTGGGACATCCATGTGGTCACAGGTGGTTTGAACCAGCTGGTGCAATAAACCTGAGGCCACAGCTGGTCACACTAACAGGAAATATAGGTGCACCAGACACACCAAAGGGAGACTTGTAGACCTACTAAGAAGTCTACCTTCCACTGAAGCCTTTGGGACTTGGCACCTGAATATCTGCACTGACCTGAGCAACCTACCTACTGTCGCACAGGGGGTCTTCCAGAAGAGCAGGCAAATGCACCAAAGCTGCCTGCATCCCAGCCATCAGAATACTCTTCCTGCCTACCTTCAAAGCCAAAGCACATAATTCATTACTGCAATGGTGTAGAAAAGAAGCAGGGTTAATGAGATAACCATTACAGGTTGGAAAAAGGAACCCTAACTATGCAATGACACAGCAGACAAAGAAAGCAAACACCAACAGTGAGCACAGACTCAGCCAGGAGCCACCTACAGAAATTTCCCCTCAGTCCCTTGTGTCTTAGTAAGCATAACGCCAGGCTGTCAGAGAGAAGCACCAGCCCAGGAGTCAGAGCGAAGTCTGGGCACCCCAGTGGCTGCTCCATCTGACCAGTGTGAAAAGGACTTCCTCAGCAACACAAGCCAAATTAAAGCAGTTACTATGTCTCACGCGGGCTTCCAAAACAGCCAGGAAGCATTGCTGGAACTGGAGATTCAAGTCTTGAGAAGCTCGGGGATGATGGAGGGACAGGCAGGGATTGACCAGAAGTTGTCATATCTAGAAACTATCAAGAGGGAATGGCTGACATCAGGATATAGGTTTGGATATCTTCTCACACAAGCTTGTAATTCCTGCTTGCCTTTGAAAGCACTGCACGTGTCAAAAGAAGAAAGCAAAGGAAAAATACCAGTTCAGTTACAAATTTTGTTCCACTTAAAACATAAGGTTGTTAGTATTGCTTTTTCATTGCAGGGAAAAAAACAAAACCAACAAGCAAACCTTCAATGGACTTCTGAGATGGAAGATTAGATTCAAGATTTGAATCTAATCATCTTGCAGTATGCTCCACATCATATACCTAACTGATTCTGAAAGCAGCACAAGATAAAGAGGGAAAGAAGGTGTGTTGCCATAGTGCTCCCGCTTGCTGCTTAATACTTGTCAGACAAATTGAAACACGATTGAATAAGCAGTCAGAACTTCTTGCTACAGCACGTTACAGTCTACAGTATAATTTCACAAATATGCATTTGAGCTTCCAACGCGTTCAACTGAAAAAAAGCCGGAGAAGCGTATCACAAAGAAAACAGACTTAACTCCTAATAAGCTCAGAAAGGCATATGCATAGTAACCTAGCCTCTGAGAAACCTACAAGCTATTATATAAGAAAGATTAATGTTAATTGCATATGAGATAAGTCACTGTCAACCATTTAAGAAATTAGCTTCTTCCATTCCGGTATATTGTATTATTCCAGGTTAACAGAACATCATGGTGAAATGTGAAGGATGGCAGCACAGCTGCAAAAATAAGCATCGTCTACAAATCCATAGAGTGTGAATGAAAAACTTTCAAGAAGCAAACACCTACCTGCATTATGATCAGTAAACTATTTGAGCAAAGGTGGGCCAAAAGGAATGAAATTACCTTGAAAACAAGAAAACTGATTTCCTGTAAAGTCATAACTGTATTGCCCTCAACAGTTCCTTATCTTTTTTATTAGTTGAAGAAAGTACATATCAAAAAAGGCACAGAAATAAGATTTCTCACGGGTTTCACTTTTAAAAAGGAAAATTTTCTGGTATGTAACCACCATAACCTTTGATATAATACCTGCATCCTGTTATTGTTTTTATGAATCATAGTCTTCCACTTGATTCATAGTGATGAATGCCAACAAAGCAGCAATGCCGCCCTGTGTTAATATCCCTGTTGGAAAATTAGCATCATGCCTTATCACTTGCCTCTCTTGAGCCATGCATCTCTTCATGAGTATTGTCTCCCGTGCTATGCTAATGCTCACTTATTCATTACAACCTTCAGCTTTTATCACAGTTATGAAAAACAAATCAGAGCTCACTTACATTTTTGCCAGTGCATATTCTGTGTCAGGACGGAGTCTTTTTTTCTCTTGAAGATGGCTTGGCTTTTTAATAGCTAAGGTGTGTTTGACTCCTTTACGGGGATGTGATAACTGTCTGTCAGGATGTTTCTTTCAGCTTTTTAAAAGCCCCATGTTCCCGCTGAACCCTGTGATGTCATCACATCCTCCAACCACAACCACTTCTATATTTTCCCTTGCTCTATGTTGTTCTTCATGACGCTAAACAGTTCCTCCAAGAGCAGTGAACTCTGGAAGGTATTATGCACAGAAAGGCACTCATTATCACCAAAACATATTTGAACAATCAAACCTGGAACCCGCCACTCAGGGGCTTTTACCATAGATTTACAAAATTAGGTTGAAAGGTTGTACAGAAGAAAAAACCACAGGGTCTTTTAGTAAGATTTTTACCTTCTGTGGCACTAACAATGGTCTTGTCCCACATAAGACAGCATTCTGCTGCTTCAGCTGGCATAACTATTGGTTCTGAACACTTCAGAGTCCACACGCCATGTCTGCCTGGCCCTTTAAATGCGCAACACTTTTAAAATACAAAACTTGTGTGTTTGCTCCTACCTTATGAGAATCTCAACTCCCTGGGGCCACTAAATTTGAACTTATGAGGAAACACCTGTAAACACTTCAAGCCTCATTAAACGAGGACGTCCTTCATTTAAAAAAGAAACCCTTTTTCTGTTTTGTTTTTATCAAAATACAACACTTCCTACTGAAGAAGAGACAGCCCTTCAAAAATAACTTGCAAAGCCAAAGAAAGGCTGAGAGATACTTGCCATAGGTGTTCAAATATGTTCTTAGCATTAGTAACAGCACCATTATATCTTACCTACGCACACCGTTGTAAGAACATAAAAAAAAATGTTAAGAGGTTATCTAAAAATCAGACCATCGTGATGAATTTTCACAGGTAACACTGATGTAGGAGCTTCACTCCCAGAGAAATATTTGGTGGAGGCTGCACAGTGAGTTTAGGATTCTGGCATTCCTATTTTCCTGTTCAGTTTTTAATCACTGAATTGCCATGGCACAAATTTCTCTTCCCATAAGAAGACCAAGGCAGGATCTGGTGAGTTCTTTAGCCAGGAGTCTATTAAAAGAATTTCCTCCCTTAAGGGAATCCAAACACCTCTCAGGAGCAGGTCCATTTTCTGAACTATTTTGCAACATACCATTAGTGTTGCATTTAATGAAAAAAGCCCCGATTAATCACATGAAGTTGAATACTTAATTGTACCACCTCTAGTTCAAACAGTTGTCCAAAAAAAACCCCACAAAGCAGCAAATCCCAAAGCAAGCGAAGTGGAAAGAAATAAGGAATGTGTCCCTTCACATTGCTGCCCTCCAAAATAGCACCCACCTCCTCAGTTCTCAGGCACGAGGGCATTGTTTGGCCACATTTTGCATATGTGCATTAATGCTTACTACCAGCCACACAGTATAATATCCTCTCTGCTGTTGAAGTGCTTAGTAATAGCAGGCAATCTGTTAGCTAATACTTCATAGATGGACAGGTATGCTAGAGTCAAACTCACAGCCCAACATAGCCAGATGAAGTGAGGAAGAATATTGAAATGGGCTTCAGTGGCATTTCAGTTACACCGAAGCAGCAAGAATTTGTGGACTCTTATATCACCAATGTGAAAGCATTATCATATTTCTCCCTAAACTAATGGAACTTCATTCTAGAAACCTCTTAAATTTGTAGAATTAAGATAAATGCTTGTAATGCAACAGGAAGTCTCTTCCAGACAAATTCTGTCCTTTGAAAGCCAGGGCCTGATCATATATTTAAATTTTCTTACAGTTTACAGCACAAATCAATCTCAGGAAATACCAGGAGAAGTTCGGCTTCAGTCAGTGCATGAGACAATGTCAGAGAGTGTTTAGAACTCTATTTTGTTGCTGTTTTCTTCTGGTAATACCTGAATTCTGATATCACAGAGCTACTGGAAGACAGGATGGTAAATCAAGTTTTTAGGACGGTTTCTTCCAGGAATAAGACCTTATTTTTAAGTATGAGAACAGTCTGTGTCCATTTGTGCTCTGCAGAGCAGCAGAAGCGTAGTGTGAGATTTGTACACACCAGGTCTTACATGTGAATACGTGCATAAGCAAAGGCAGACTGCATTCACAAAAGTAAATATATAGACTCATATTAAAAGAATCTATATATGTTTATCATCTTACCTCTAACTATACTTTAATTGTGCTTAGAAAAGCTGTGGATTAAGCTGTTTTTAAGGTCTTTACATCAGTACTTTAAAAATATGAAACCAGGCAGATAAAGTCTCGATGTAATAGACATCTAAAATGAGGAAGTTGCAAAAAAGAGCATGTTTTCCACAGATAAAACAGCCAGCACTATTTTGGTGGCTGATAATCATCCATTTCCATATTTTACTCAGAGTTACCAGACAACCTTTTGGTGTATTAACAAAGAAACACTCTCCAAAAAGTAACTTCACAGTTATACATTGAGATATAAAGGAGAATATGTATGTGCCTTGGCGACCCCACACCATACAAAGCAAAATCAAAGCTGTCAAATATAAGCATCTTCTCATTTCATGCATTTTACGGGAAAACACAATTTGGTTAAGGACTATTTTACTAATGAGATCCAAAGGAAGAGACAAAAGCAGAGAGAAAGACGAAAAACATCACTTAGCAAGTATCATTATTTGCCTCTTCCTCTGACAACTGTTTGCAAATCATGATTCAGGTTTATAGTCTATAAACATGGCTAGACCTTAAGCTATTGTCAGATGATCAAACAGCACCAAGAGCAGGAAGGCTGCTTGTGGATAGCTGTACCTTTAAGAGACACTCAGAAAATTAACTGCAGCCTTTGCCACTAGATAACTAGATGCAAATCCAGCTGCCTCCAGTCATGCCTTGACCTGTTCACCATAAGACCAAAGCAACTAGTTCTATATCAGGCTACATGGTAGATGTCAGTCAAACCTTGGTTTGGCAAGGAACATCTCAGCCCTGAGTCACAGTACAATTTCTCATGTTCCTGGTGGTTATACTTTGAGTCATGTCCAGAGACCAAAGGATTCACAGGCAGCGTTATAATTTAGTTCGACCAGCACATACAGCTGTTCAAAGGATAACCTGAAATTAGCTGCAAAGCACATGAGAGCAGCCATGCACTGTATACAGTGCAGAAACGCTTCTCTTTAGACCAACAGTGATGCATTTCTCCTAAGCAGGGTTGGTAGCTCTGTACACACAAGAACCAATCAAGGGTTGCAGCAGATCCCAGTGGATCCCTGCAGCTGGTCTCAGCAAGAATGGTAAGAGCGGAGTGCAAGGATGACCCAGACTGCATGCGCCTTATCTCCTCTTCCAGCCAAGATGATCCAGGTGTGGAAGACAGATGCCCAGCATCCAACCTTTCATTAAGGTCTGTGTCATCAGACAGCGACACTGGAAAATCAATACATCAATCACAGCATTCAGAAATCTGCAGCTCCTCTGGTAGTAAACCACATGCTGCCAACCAGTGGGTAAGACTTTCATCTGAACAGTCAAAGAAGGTACAGACAAATTCATGCTTTCCTCTTTTACACAACGAATACTGCTCTGTCTCCCATCTTGTCTGTGGGCAGCAGTGGATTCACCAAAATCCACTGCAAGTGGCAGAGAGCCATACAGCCTCTAAAGAAACCTCTTGCCATTGGTTCCCGTCAGAACCAGAACAGAAATGCAGATGAGCAGGATAAAGTGATTGAGAGAAGGCAATTGTTTGGTAATCTTACAGTTAAGCTTGCTGCAAATACCAATTGATATCTACTATCAAGCTGATGCTCCTCGTAAGAGGGAACTTAGAAACTTAGAACTGTGCCTACTCAGTGCTGGTAGGAACAAGGCCCTGCAAGAATTTTGAGTATACAGATGATATAAAAATCATCGAGATATATTATGTTTGATAATCTGAACCTTAGCTTTATCTCACTTCCTCATCTCTTTGATGTTGTCTTATTCCCGGGACAGGAGTTGAGCTCATAAGTAATTTTCTTCCAAAAGTGGATTAATGCTGTTGACAGACGTCCTGGCCATTGCTTTTTGTTGTTGTTGTGGGGGGGGTTTTTTTGTTGTTTTTTTTTTTTTTCGTTTTGGGGTTTCTGTTTGTTTTGGGTTTGTTTTTTTTAAACATGTCAATATTAGCACTTTAATCCTGCCATACAACAGAAGAAGTATGAATATATAAGCAGTAGTCTGATATTTCAGAAAGTTTTGTGGTCTGCAAACACAAACATTTACCTTTGAGAATACAATAACTAAATTAGTAAATGGGTCTCTACCTCACAGATTAGAATGAGTGTTTAAAAGACAACCATGCTTAGAAAAGGTTCTCATACTTCTTTCCTGATCGATCAAGAGAGATAATAGAGGAAACGAAAAGTTGAGCCTCATTTGAGGCAACAAGATCTGACATCTGACTGAAAATTATTTGCTATCTCAGATTACAAATGCTATAACCCACATCTATTCTGTAGCATGACATCATATGTGAAAACATAGCAAGAAACAACACAGAACCAAAGCCCATAGAGTACAAGGCCAGGATTTATTCCAGCAAGTTTATAGAAATCACATCACCTAACTTAGGATCGTCACACTACAAACTCCCTTGGTAGAACCAAAAGAACAACAGGCATCTCCAGAGGGATGAGCCACCCATGTGCAAACCACCTTCTGGAGGTGTTTATTTCTTTTAGTAGACCACAGACCAGTAGTACAATGAGTCTCCTAATTCTACTAGCTTGATTAGGCATCAAAAGAGTGGGATGAATGAAGGCCTAAAAAACCTCAAAGCCAAAGCCCTTCCCCAGCGTCTCTGCTGGATGCAGAGGTGTGCCACTGCTTGTCACAGTTAGCACGTAGCTGACTTCCTTGAGAAGCATAAGGGACACGAATACTACGAACAAGGGCAGTGAGCTGCAGGGTGTGTCACAATGTGGAGTGAATTTTCATACTCCATCTACAGAGCATTTACCAGAAAACAACTCCTCAAACATGTCTAAAGCGTGTTTGAAGAAAAAGTGTTACTTC